TTGAGCCGTCAAGTTCCGGGGTGAGGGACCAGGTGTCCCGCATCTCAGCTGCAAGTTTGGACCGCTGCCTAAGGAGGGCGTCCAAATTTGTGAGCGACCCTGGGTCCGTTCTGCAGAGGACCATCGACTACGCCGCCGAGGTAAGACTAGTGCCCCATTTTTGCTTGATTTCACCCAACAGGTAGTTCGATCTAACTTTTTCCTTGTACCATTTCTCAGGCGTTCGTTGCTTCCATTCAATCGGCTCTGGCTGTAAAGGCCGAGCTGGATGGGAGGGAAGTTCTGGCAGCGAGGGAGAAAGAGGAGTTCTCTGCTGCCTTGGAGGCTGCTCCCTACACCATGAAGGATGAGCTGCTGAAGGCTCACTCTGAGGTGGAGACTTTGAAGGCCGAGGTGGAGTCCCAAGCCGAGCTGCTGAAGAAGGAAGAGGACAGGCGCAAGGCCCAACTCCGAGCTGCCCACGCTATTACCAGGGGCCTGGAGAGGGAGAAGTTCCAGCTCCTGAAGGAGAAGGACGACATGCTTCAGGCGCTCGAAGTGAAGGATAAGGAGCTAGAGCATGCGACTGCCGAGCTGGAGACAGCGAAGGAGCGCCTCAGCAATGAAGTCCTACTGGAGGAATCGTTTAGGCAACATCCTGACTTCGATGGATTTGCCAAAGACTTTTCTGACGCGGGCTTCAAGTTCCTCATGAAGGGCATTGCTTCCGACATGCCCGACCTTCAGATCGATCTCAGCGGTCTGAAAAGGAGGTATGCCGAGAAGTGGGCGTCTGGGCCTGGCGGCACCCCTGGCCCCCAAGCGTTGGTGGATCAGTATGTCAGGGATCTGGACTCTGACTACTCCGATCCCCAAGAGGACCAGGTCGGCTCCACTCAGGAGGGCGCTCCCCCAGCAGGCTCTTAGGCAACCACCCTTCACGAGGCTTTTCGCTGTTCTCCCTCCCTTTTCTTTTTTGTTTGTAAGTGTCAGGGCAGAGATGCAAGGTCTATAAGCCTTGGCTCTGCTCTTCATTCAATAAAGAGACTCCCATTTGCTTCTACTTTGTTGTTAGCAACCTCTTTTCTTTGCCTTTCCTTTGAACTGCAGCCAATGTCAGCTCGCACCTCTTACTTTTGAGGTCGCGCCTTTAATTAACATAATTTGAAAGTTTAAGTTTGAATCTCTTAATGTTCAATACATTGCACCAACTCTGGATTTTTAACATTTCACCCTTAACTTAAAAAGGTAAAAAGGCTAAAATCCTAAGTCCGTAGCTATTCTTCATATCGTTCCTCGTACCCCCAAGTTCGGAGGCTTGATCATTTTGAACTTTCCACATCGCCCCCTTTGCCTTGAAGGTTTGAATTTTAAGTTCGTCAGTGGTTTTGGCATCGCACCTCGTACCCTTAGGCTTCGAAGGATTGAATTTGAACCAACTGCTGGAATGCGATCGCGTGGGAGTCCGTGGCCCCCATTTAATTTCTTGTCGAACTCGGAAGCATGAAATTAAATCATCACATTTATTCCGATCATAATTCTTTTGGAACAGTCTTTACAGATTCATTGAAAATCCTATTGGCATTTCAAGGATAATAACGCTTCAGGTGCTCCGCGTTCCACGGGTGCGCAAGGACGTCTCCTTTCAGATCGGCCAGTATGTACGCCCCAGGTCGGACTATGCCCTTGATCTCAAACGGGCCCTCCCAGGCCGGATCAAGGGCACCCACATGCGTTTGGACCCTCCTTAAGACCAGATRTCCGACCTGAAAGGCCCGAGGTCGAACGCGGGCATTGTAATGTCTGGCCATTCTGCCCTGATATTCTGCCAGACGTAGCTGGGCCATTGCTCTTCTTTCTTCCAACAAATCGAGGTTGAGGAGCAGCTCATCCTTATTCGTCGTAGGCTCGTAATGTTCTACTCTGTCAGATGGCATGCCGATCTCAACCGGGACTACAGCTTCGGAGTCGAAGGCCAGGGAGAACGGAGTCTCGCCCGTCGACTCTCGTTGGGTGGTCCGGTACGACCACAGAACCTCTGGTAGCTCCTCGGCCCACCTGTCTTTCTTGGAGTCTAGTCTAAGTTTGATGCCTCGCTTGATGATCTTGTTGACTGCCTCCACCTGCCCATTTGCTTGCGGATGTGCGGGGGACGAGCTGAGATGACTTATGCCAAGTTTGCTGCAAAAGTCTTTGAACTTGGCGTTGTCAAACTGCTTCCCATTGTCTGTCACTATGGCCTGCGGTATACCAAAGCGACATATGATATTCGTCCATATGAAGGACGTGACCCTGGATTTCGTTATGTGGGAGAGCGCCTCGGCCTCGGCCCACTTGGTGAAGTAATCCACAGCAACCACAGCGAACTTGGTCTGGCCCTTGCCCAAAGGGAAAGGACCAATGATATCTACCCCCCACTGCGCGAATGGCCATGGGGCCGAGATGGGGGTGAGCAGCTCGGGAGGTTGGTGGATTATGGCCCCGTAGCATTGGTAATTGTCGCAAGTTCTAACGAACTTCTTGGCGTCCTGGCTGAGGGTCGGCCAATAGTATCCTTG